CAGATTACTGGTGGTTTGGGGAAACCCTTCTGGTGCTGGTCTTCTTCATGGATAACTCCTGTATGGCTTCTAAGTCCAGAACCTACTTTAATTCCCTTTGAGCTGCAAACACCCTTTTCCTACAAGCAGTTCAAAGATGAATGAACTAAACAGACTTCCCAAAAATTAGTAAGGTCTCCAGTTCATGTTCAGGTTTCTTTTCCCCCACATAAAATATATTTAGCAAATTAACCCATCTGGGAAAACAGCAGACTTGCATTTGGCCACAGCTTCAGTTTGATAGCTCATATTGTTCTGCAATGAGCTTTTGAACATGGGGGGTGGCAGGCATTTATTTGATGGCAAATTATGCCACTCTCCCAACAGACAGAGGCCCTCCTTTGCCAGGGTAATGCAGTGGATCATTCGTACCAGACTAACATGCATCTGTGCATCTAGAGCTAAGAAGCATCATGTATTTGGAGTTCCAGCAGATTATATTTAGAGAAAAAGTCCAACAATGGCACTAAAGTCCATTTAGGATACTGAAGGGAATCTGCTAAGGCTTAGAACCATCTGATTAACTTTGGGGATTGGATCCAGATTCAGGTTAACTTTACCCAGTACAGGCAGTCCTTCAGTTACGACCACTCCTTCAGTGACTGTTCAAAGTTATGATGGCACTGAACAAGGGGGACTTATGACCAGTCCATGAAGTTGTAGCCAGATCGCAGATCCTGGGGATCTTGTGCTCCAAAAGCACACCCGCCCATAGCATGTCTCCACCTGCACTCCATAGCGCATCCTTATCCACCTGGCTGCACTCGTGCCAGGCTGCAGCATCCACCCCACCACCCAGCTGCACTCTGTAGCACTTACCCACCCACTGGCCTGCTTGCAAACCACCTAAGGAAAGGCTTGTCATGACCAGGACTTGCAACTTCCTACCCGCTTCCCCACTGACTTTGCTTGGTGGAAGCCAGCAGGAAGTCGCAAGTCCCAGTCACATGAGGTCCTCACTTAATGACCCACGACCCTTACTTAATGAAGGCAACAGGGACAGCACATGACATAGTGCTTTACAACCACATTTGCAGTTTGCAGCTCAAAGGGAATTAAAGTAGGTTCTGGACTTAGAAGCCATTCA